GCCGGAGACGAAGCTCCACACCAATGCACCACGGCTGAATGCTCAGGTCCTTCTCACATGCTCGGGCGCCATTGTCCTTACAAGGAAGCTCGAGGAGAACTTGCAACTTGAGAAGTGAGTCATACTACTCTAGAAGCAGGTAGTTATACTAGCACTACCACTCGGCCGGAGGCTCAATCTACCGGCTACAGTTCCTCACTCGACCGGAGGTCAACTACTGTCAACCCTAGCATGTGGACTCCCCCGTGTGACCTAGCTTCGTCACTGGCTATTGTCCTAGGTTGGGGGATCTCCCTCGTGCGGACTCGACAGGACACCGGAGCCTCGGAAACCCTCGAAACCTCCGCGTGGATGACACCTGTCAGCCGCCTGCCTTATGCTACCGGGCCGCGGGCGCGCGCGCTACGTGTTGCGGCACGGGCTCCCCTCGGCATGGCAGCTGCCGTGCGCTACTCGGCTATTGCCGGTCCTCATCGGGTCCGGTGGAACGCTCTCAACTCCAGATGAGCCCGGAGACGCCAGTCTTACTGACCTCCGGTGCTCGCTCCGGTCTATTCTCTCCGCATCTAGCCATGCAGAAAATTATAGGCGTAACCCGGCTAGACCCGCGATTACCCACTCACTTCCCCCTTACTCGCCTGCCGCAGTCCCCGCGGCTCCGGCGAGTCACCCTGGTTGAAGACTCTGGGTGCAGCTGGGGCAGAGCCACACTCCCTTGGGCACCTCCTTGACTGCCGGCTCCAGGCAGCTTATGTGGTAACCCTCCAGGCAGTAGTCGCACAACAGCATTGTAGCCTGCCGGCCGGAGCTCTTGCAGATCTGGCAGGCGTGTCCCGCCGCACTGTCGATGGTGGTGTCGATGTTGGGGTCGTGGCAGCCTGGGCGCAGTTCTGGACAGTGTGCTCCTTGAACAGCGTCCCGTCCGCCCCTTGTAGCAATGATGCGCCCGTTGGTGCCGACTTGGTGTACCCGGTCGAGCACGGGCACACGAGGGCCGAGTGCCACCAAGGAGCCCAAGGCCCGTGGAGGCTCCATGAGGAAACCGGGGGCCTACTGCGGACACTGCAAGCGGCGGGACTCCCACACCGAAGACGAGTGCTGGGAGAAGCATCTCGACAAGCGGCCAGAGAAGTGGAAGCAGCCACGCGCCGAAGAACCGGCCCGGCCTGCCTACGCTGCCGCGGAAGTGGGGGGGGAGGACGACCCCATGAGCCCCGACTTCGACCCGTTCACCACCTGGGGCGCCCACCTACTGCCAGTCCAGGCGCCGGGAGTGGACGTGATGGCTGTGGGGACCCCGGAGGACTATCCGGAGGTGCGCCCTGGCAGCACCATGGCGCAGCTGGACACAGAACCCGCAGCGCGCGCCCGCGGCTCAGAAGCAGAGCGCATGCGCGCAAAGGCGAAAGAGGATCGCGTGCGGCGCGGGGGGCCTCCCCCGGCCTTTGGCCAAAGGGGGAGCGGCCCCCACCGGACGAGGGAGCAGGAGAGGCAGCGCCGCCAGCAACGGCAGAGGCGCCTGAGGGACCGGGGCCTGCACAGACAGGCCCGGTGCAGCGCCTTCCTCCTAGCTTCGAGGAGTACCCCGTCACTGACCCCCGGTACCAGGGGCAGAGGGCCTAGAGAACGCGGAGGTGCAGCCCCACCTTCTGACGGAGCCCACGGTGGGCCCGCAGCGAGAGGTGCAGGTGCACTGCCCACACCTCTTCGAGATCGTCTCTGCCCCAGCACGCTGCGCCTGGGCCGGGGCCGTCTCCATATTGCCCATGGATGTCACCACCGGGTAGCCCCTGCGGTGCAGGGGAGGGGGAGGCTCACGCTTCGGCGACGAAGCCGAGGAGGAGGGGAGTGAAGAGGAGGGGGAGGACGCTGAGGGGGCTGCTGAACAAGCAGCTGAAGAAGATTACGGCGTCGAGGACAAGGGGGACGCAGCAGACCTCACCCCCGCTGATCGCGCCATGCAGACTATCCCGGCGAGGTACCGCTACTTCCCCCCGGTGAAGCGGCGCTGAACAGAATCGACTCGGGGTAAGAGAGATACGGGCTGGAGAGGCGATATACGAGGAGTTGAATACAAGCTGAAGAT